TCTTCTCTTACCTTTAAAAAAAAAAACTAGAAGAATTTTAAAAGCTTGGGGCCGGGGAGATGGAGATGGCCATCTCCATCTCAGTACAATAAGCGCTTCCCTGGCAAGTGCAAGGGCCTGAGTTCAATTCCACCAAAAGAAAGAATTTTAAAAGCTTTATTGAGTACATAATGTGTTCAGTATATGTTCTAGGAGGCTGAGGCAGGAAGATCACAAGTTCCATTCCAGCCTGGGCAACATAGCAGCTTAGCAAGACCCTTTTTCAAAATTGTAAAAAGGACTGGGGATGTAGCTCAGTGCAGAGGCCCTGGATTCAATCCCTAGTACCCTCACAAAAGGGAGTTGGGGAGGCAAGGGACTGTCACTAACCAAGCAGTAGGCAAAGAGCTTGAGGTGAGGTAGGGTCGCAGACAGACCAGGGGAGATAGGGAGGGGAGGCCAGCCCGTCTTGGCTGCGTGATGGGCTGGGCTGGGGGTGCTTTCTTGGTGACTGGGTAGAAGTGGAGGAGCCACCTGAGAGCGCAGGCTCCCTGGGCCTCTGTGGGGCTGGGGGTGCGTGCGGCCGGGCACAAGCTCCTGACCGGCAGTTGAAGAGCATAGACACTCGATGGGAGTAGAACCGTCAGCTAGGTCTCGGCAAAGTGAAAAGGCTTCGCCATGACGTTTTCCTTTGTCTCCCCTTCGCTCTCGTACTTGCAGGTACAGAGATTCCTGGAAGAGGAGGTTTCCCCCCTGCTGAAGCCGTATGCAGGTGTGATGGAAGTGAAAGTAGAATTAAGTCTGTAGAGTCAGAAGATTAATAAATGGAAAGTCTTTGATGGTTTATTAATTTTAGCGCTTGGACGTGAGAAGATTTGGCCTGTAGTCTCTCACTTACCTTCAGAGTTGCTGCTGTAAATTAATCCAGCCCTTCCACTGTGTTTGTATGTTTGTTTGGCTTGACAGTGCCTTTTTTGTGTCCATACAAGCTTGACTGATAGTTGTAGCTGATACTTCCTTTCTGTTCTTCCAAGGTAAATTGTCCAACTACCTCAAGTCTAAAAAAGTGGGTTACATTGCAAAAACCCTAACTCAAAAGTGCATTTATTGCAGTAATGACCTGTGGGATATCGTAGTGTAGCGCTGCCTCCCAAAACGCATTCAGAACCCTTCCGGCAGCCTACAGCTGCACATAATAAGCATCTCACACAAAGCCTCTTTGCAATCAGGTGGTGATTTATTAGATACTCCCAGTGCGGAACAATGGTTGCTGGGTACACTCTCCCCATCGTGGACAAGAGAAGTCACACGTTGATGAATTAAACCATCCTAAATCGGGCCCTTGGGTAGCTGTTTTTATGTGTTTACTAGTTTGTGAAGCCTCCAAGAATTCCTAGTCCTCTCATGAAGATGAATTTGAATAACCACGACTGGGGCCCCACCCCTGAGGCACCCTGAGACAGTGGTTGAGACTGGGCATGGTGGCCCGTGCCTGTAATCCCAGCTCTTGGGAGGCTGAAAACAGGAGGATCACTACAAGTCCTGTCTGTGTAGTGAGACTCTGTAACCCTGTACTAAATACAAAAAAAACAAAAAAACAAAAAACTATTTTTAGTCATGTTTGGATAAAGCAATGAAATTTGAAGCACTTTCCTCTCAAAGAAAAATTTGATTTTCAAGGTTTAGTCAGCTCAAGCTGTGCCTGCTTTATTTCACCCTTTGATAAGGCTGATGTAAAGAAAATGCTAATTGGGCATATTGATTTCACCGCAGTCGCTGACGACCTCCAGACCTTGTGCTATGAGTTGGTAGGTAGCTGACTGAACAAAGAAGTCTTGGGTTACAGTTACCCACCTGGGGAGAAAGATTCAGATGACTCATTCTCCACATTTTCAGTGTCAAAGAAAATGGAAGCAGCTGGGTTCGGTGGCATAAGCCTGTGGCCCCAGCACTCTGGGGGGCTGAGGCAGAGATATTGTATGTTCAAGCCCAGCCTGAGCGAGTTAGTGGAAAAATAAAACAAAGAACTGCCAATGATGCAAGACTTGGAGAATTAACCGATCCATTCACTTGGTAAAATAAGTTTTCATCTGACAAATACAAGTGTAAACTGGGCATATGGCCACATGCCTGTAATCTCACCACTCAGAAGACTAAGGCAGAAGGATTTTGGCAGGTTTGAAGCCAACCTGAACTATCACTGAGTTCAAGACCAAACTAAATTTTATAGTGAGACCCTGTCTCAAAAAATTTTATAGTGAGACCCTGTCTCAATTTTTCTGGGCCAACTGGACTGCTGGCCCTCTCATGCTCTCTTCGCCTGCTGAGCCTGGAGTTCATTTAATAACCAAAAGGACTTGCTGCTTATGAATGCCCAGAAGGGGAAGCAGAAGGGTTAGGTGCTTCTGGGATGGTGGAATCCTGGCTGGGTGTGAGGATTAGGTGAGGCTGGAATGGTCATGTTGGATCTGACACAGAAGCTAGTCAGAAAATGTCATTTTTAGCCAGGCATGTTGATATACACCAATAGTCCCACACTCAAGAGCATGAGACAGGAGAGTCACCATGAGTTTGAAGCCAGCCTGAACTGCATAGCAAGATCTTTCAAGAAAGAAAATTATTTTTACCCAGGAAGCCTTACCAGGCTTCTCTGGGGTCAGCGAGGAAGCAGGCAACACTTACCTTGGTTTGTGTGCCATCGAAAAGGGTAACACCTTGAAGCACAGAGTGGGAAGCAGAGTCAACATAAAGAATAAATAAATACAAGCCGGGTATAGCAGCACACGCCTGTAACCCCAGCCCTCGGAAGGCTGAGTGGGGAAGATCAATGCGAGTTTGAGAGCAGCCTGGGCTACAAAGTGAGCTCAAGGCCAGCCTGAACTGCATGGCAAGACCGTGTCTCAAAAAGACAAATAAATAAATAAATAGAAAAATCTAGGGCAGGCTAGGCACCAGGATTAAGGCCTGCAATTTCAGCTACTTAGAAGGCTGAGGCAGGAATGTTAGAGTCTGAGCCCAACCTGGGCAACTTAGCAAGATCCTGGCTGAAAATTCAAACGCAAAAACAGCCTGATATAGCTCCATGCTCCCTGGAATCAATCTCAGTACCACAAAAAGAAAGGGTTGGGGTATCGCTTAGTGTCAGAGCACTTACTCTAGCACCCCAAAAAGTAAATATAAAAGGGAAGGCTGGAGGGCTAGGGCTAGGGCATGTGCTTAGCCCTGCGCTGGGTCCAGCCCCAGCTACACACACACACACACACACACACACACACACACACATGGGAAAGTGATACAAAATACTAAGATTTGGTGGCTAATGAAGAGGCAGAACCCCCTGTGCCTTATTTTCCTTATATTCATAAGGTACAGTTGCTACAATTCCCATATTGACACATATCATGAAATAAAATCCTCATTTTTTAAATGAATGCCCTTTTTGTAAGATCCCATTCTGAGGCACGTACTATATTTAGATACTGTAATTATTTTTGAAATCCTATTGTTCATATAGATTATAAGATCTCTTATCATAGATGTGGTTTAATGTACATAAATTTCAGCCCATATTCTGGATGCAACTGGAAATCAAAGCAGAGCTTGGCTTCTCTGGTTCCTCTTCAGATCTGGCATGACACACTTCATAAATGCTGCGCACAGGGAAATTCCTGGAGACTAAATTTCTGAAAAAAACAGTTTTCAGTGGTGAGTGTGGATGTTATCAGCCTTCATCAGAAGTACAAAGTAAAAAATCCAGCAGCCAGGCATAGTGGTACAAGCATATAGTCTGCACTCTGGGAGGCTGAGGCAGGAGGGTCACAAGGAGGCCAGCCTTGTTTGATCTGGCCTGGCCTATCAGATCCCAACTTGGTCATGTAAGTTCTGCCCATGGTGGACAGAACTGTAGTTGGCAACATTCCAGCCCAGAAGAGGTGCAAGATGAAGACATTCTTAGGAACTACTGTGGATCGCTTTGACCTTAATCCCCACATGGGAGTTTCTGGAAGACGTCTGGCTCATATCTAATAGTGGGGTTAAGCGGCCACCTGTGTGTGAGGTTGAAAGGGTGACTAGAGCCCGAGAGTCTTGTAGTCGGTTTCCATCAAGCGATCTATGCCTCACCACCATGCCTCTAGGGTCCTGGGAGATAGCCCATTAAAGTTTAAAGCTATGACATGTGTTACATCTCTCCCATGGCTTTAAACTTTAATATGACAGCTGTCTTTAAAATGCAGTTAGGATAGTGCTTGTATTTTATTCTTGTTTTTTGAATAAAGTTTATTGGTACATTTTATTTTTATTTATTTATTTATTTTGCGGAACCAGGGATTGAACTCAAGCCCTTGCACTTGCCGGGGAAGCGCTTATTCTACTGAGCCATCTCCCCAGCCCCTATTGGTACATTTTAGATGTACATACATGATGATCACATTCATCGTGGGGAATTCTTTTTTTTTTTAATGGAACCAGGGAAGCACTTATTCTGCTGAGCCATCTCCCTGGCCCCCATCATGGGGAATTCTCACCCATACATGATTTAACTCAATTCTTTTTCTTTTTTTACTTGATTCTTTTATTTATTTTTTTTTTCTATTCCTCTACCCACCCCTCCTCTTTCCCTCTTTATCTACAAAAGTTTTGGTTCCATTTTTTCTTCCTTCCAGGGATAGCTCAGTGGCACAGTGCCTGCCCGGCAAACGCAAGGTCCTGAGTTCAATTCCGAGTACCAAACAAAGAAAAACACGACTATTTTTTCCATTTACTCTTTTTTCTTTTCCTTTTCTTCCTTCCCCTCTCCCCCTCCGTAGTTCCCCTTCCCATGTGAACATTGTCTTCCTATTTTACAATATCTGTAATATATTTTGGTCCTTATTTACACTTTTGGTTTCTCACACCAGAGAAACAATGCAGGATGTATACATGTGTGTCTCATTTCACTCACAAGCATGGCCTCCAGGTGCTTCCGTTTAGCTAGGAACGTCTCAGGCTTACCCCTTATGGCAGAGCAGAACCCCACTGTACACAAAAAAAAATCACATCATCTTTATCCCCTTATCAGTTAATGAGGATTTGGGCTGTTTCCAAGATTTAGCTATTACAAATTGGCCCTATAAGGGCCGGCCAATTAGCTCAGCAGATTAAAATGCCTGTAAGCAGGCGCAGTGGCCTGGGGTTCAATCCTCAGGCCTGCTGTGCTGGCCCCACCCGTGGGCACTAAGCAGTTGAGACTGGGCCTGGTGGCACACGCCTGTAATCCCAGCTCTTGGGAGGCTGTAAACAGGCAGGTCACTACAAGTCAGATCGAGTAGTGAGACCCTGAACACCCTGTAGACCCTTCTCTAAAAAATAAAAAAATAAATTGCCCCTATAAACCTGAGTGTGTATATATTGCTGTGATGTAATAATTTATGTGTTCATTTATTATTTATTTGGTAAAGGGTCTCTCTACACAGCTCAAGCTTGTAGTGGTCCTCCTGTCTCAGCCTCCCCAACACTCAGATTACAGGCATGTGCCACCATGCCCAGTTTTGGTGCTGGCTTGGCCTGGGGCTGGCACAGCATGCAATACTGGGAGTCGAACCCGTCCTTCCAGTTGCCAGGCAGGTGCTTAGACTGTTGTATTATTTCCCCAGCCCACTGCTTTTAATTCTCTAGGAAACTGTATATATACACATGTGTGTGCATATATATATGTGGTTTGATGTTTTT